GGTTAGGGTTGCAGGCAAGGTCGTATAAGCTGGGAGTAAGCTGGCACACAGTTCCGCTGTTTGCGTGAAGGACGCCATGTAAGCAGCTGGTGCATGCAGACTGGCCAGTCTGAGGCCAAGGCCGCCCGCAGACGTTGCGAGGGATGCCTGTTCCCAGGCCGCTGTGGTGAGTGGCCCAGTGCACATGTGTTCGAAGGAGCCACGCACATCGGCGTCGAAATAGGCAAGGGACATGCGGTGTGCTCCAGGCGGGCTGACGCGCGAGGAGTAGGCGATTCGGCAGAACGATGCACAGTGGCGGAGGAGCAGGAGGCCCGTTTGCACGTCGGGGAGGGCCGCCAGCTCGCGGAGCAGCGGACGAGCCTTTTCCACACGATGCGCCTCGCAGTAGGTGGCAGGGCCGATGGGGGCCCCTACCGCTGGGAAGGCCCGCATGTCGGCAGAGCTGTCCGGGCCGGCGCACGACACGACCTCACATTAACCTGGCGGGCAGCAGCTGCGAGGCGGCTCAGCGCGGCAGCGACATGGCGGTAGTCGCCGGCCAGGCACACGTCGTCGAGGAACGCCGTGACAAGTTCAGGTGGGGTCAAGCCCGAGCTGGCAGCTTGCAGGGCAGGTTGAAGGGCGAGGCAAAAAAGGAGGGGACCCAGCGGGTCCCCCTGCTGGACACCAGCTTCAGAAGACAGGTGTAAGCAAACAGGAGCCGGCTATGGCGGTCATACGTCCACTCAGCCCAGGGAGAGAGGAGCGGCATGTGCAACCGGACTTGCTGCAGGAGGGCTGCTCTGTCGACCGTGTTGAAAGCGTTGCGGAAGTCGACTTTCAGGATGACTTTGGAAGCGTGGCCGGAATTGCGGAGGGCCCAATGCCGGACAGCGTGGACGGCGGCCTCGCACCCAAGAGGCACAGCAACCCCAACCTGGAGGGGCGACAGGGCGGAGCGGGACTGCTCCTTGTAGGATTGGCAGAGGCACTTGCTCACGAGACGCCGCAGGGTTTCTCCAACAGCGATGGGCCGCACCGCAAAGAGGGTGGCCCCTGCGAGGTGGGGCGCCAGCTCGGGCGGGCCCTTTCTAGAGGCGAGAAGCCGGACCACATCAGCGAGGTGGTTTGTGACCTCATCGGCGTGAGGGGTGCAGAGGGCTTCACGGAGGTGGTCGCCGCGCAGGCCGGTGGGGTTAGAGGCGCTCCCACGGCGGAAGCTGCGGACTGCTGAAAGCACGAGCCATGTCAGGGACCTCCGCCTGGGCAGGGGGCCCGAGCGGCATAAGGCCTGGGCGTGCCGGTTGGCGTTGAGGGTGCTTGGCGCGCAGCTTGTCGAGGACACCCGGCTCGTGGCCCAGCAAAGCGGGGCTGAGCAGGGCGGCACAGGCACGGGACAGCTCGCCCTCAGCGCCAAGAGCAGTGCAGCGGGCCTGGCGGGCCGCAACCTCGCTGTCTTGGTCCTTCGGGTGTTGGAGGGGGGGCGGGCAAGTGGGGTTCCCAGAGCTCCTCCCGCTCCCCCTCCAGCCAACGACGACAGCGGCGGAGAGCGTTTTGGGCGGCCGCGTCGCGGCGTTTGGAGCCTCCACGGTGGGCAGCATGAGCAGGTCGCGCCAGGCACGAAGAGAGTTTGAGCAGGCTGCGGCGGCTAGGGTTCTAGCGAGGCACTGGGCCCAGGCACTGCGGGCTAGCTTAGGCACATGCCGCAGGACGGGGATGCGGCTTTGACACACCTGGCCTATGTCGGGACCGGCGGCTACTGGCTGTTGGGTGAGGGGCTGGTGGGGGGCGGCAGCTCGTGCGGTAGGCCTGCAGCGGGGGTGGGTGCCGTTGTACCGGCGTGCGACAAGCAGTCCGCACACCTGGCATTTGTCAAGGGAGTGCTGAGCGAGATAGTCGGGCGGGACCTCCAGCCAGCGAACCCGCGCAGTGGTCGTTGAGATGAGCATGCATGCTGGCATGGGTGCTCCAACCCCTCGCCGAGGCAGCATCGGCACACGGGCAGCCCTGGACAGGGCAGAAGACACGAGGGTTGGGAGCGCTGCGGCGGTTGCGCCCGGGTGATGCAGAGCGGGCGCGCGGGGAGCCAGGTTTTGGGTGCGAGGCTTCACCATGTCGGACCCCCCGGCTCGGCCAACCCGACCAGCGCCGCCGGCTGGCATGATGGTACCAGTTGCGGCGTTGAGCCTGGAACAGGGCCCCTCGTCGACGCCGGAAGGCTGGACGGGGTAAGCAGGGGTGCCACAGGTCTGCTGGAGTCTGCGGGGCCAAGTCTGGGGCCCTGAAAGCCCAGGCTGACGGGTGAGCTCACGCCGTCGCCCCTTTTCGATGGCGGGGTTCTCGCCGCGTGGTGGCCGCTCGGGCCGGCGCCGCTGGAAGTGCGGGTGAGAGAAGTGCGGGTGAGTTGAGGGGGCCAGTGCAAGGAGTGCCAGGGCGCAGAGGCTGTGGAGTACGACCCTGGCGGGCTTGAGGCCCGGTAAAGGGCCATGCAGATGTGGTCGGTTGCAGGGCAGGGACTTGTGGCAGGGCCGGGCGGTCTCGACTCCTGGGTACTGGACGCACTCGGGGCGGAGCCAGACTGTCCTGGAGGAGGTACCGGATGCCAGACGGGAGATGGCGGCGCGGGCGACTGCAGCAGGGCCGGACGGTCTCGACTCCGGGGCCTGGGCGCCCTCCGAGGAGGAGGAACCGGATGCTGGCACGGATGGCGGCGCGTGGATCTAAACCCTCAGGGTGTAGGGCACGGCTCCTTGCGACCCAAATACGACAAGAACCCGAGCACCTCCTTGGCTGCATATTGAAGAGCAGGAATATCCTTAGCAGGAAGCGGAATTGAATGAACCATACCCGTGTCTCGATCCACACACACCATGGCTGAACCAAGATCTTCTTCTCTTTGTTCTCCTCTGGGACTTGTTTCATGAAATCCAGCTCTGAACCTTCCACTGAACTATACATTACTCAGCAAATCTAAACTTTAGCACAGCACCGCACGCCATGGCTCTGGATGGCCCGGAGACCGCTGAGGCTCAGCACGCTCGGCATGATGAGCTGAACCACTTGCGGCGGCGGCAGCAAGGCGCAAGCATGGCAGGCGTGGCGAGGCAGGCTGCAAGAGCTCTATCATCGGGCTCCGCCTATATCGAGCGACCTGCGTCACGAGTGAAGAACCGACGGTCGCAGAAACGCGTGGAGACCTAGTCGACGTCATCGTCTCTGAATTGGCGCTACTTAGCACAAGATCGAACGGGGCAAGTGGCGCCAGGATATCGACTGTGCTTCAGAAGCTTGTCGGATAGACCACCCGAGTGCAAGGGACGGCGGCAGCAAGCAGAAATACACAATCGGAAACAAGAGGTCCTACGGCTGCTAACCTGTGAAAAGCAGAGGAATCCACCTAAGTCTCGGTCACAAAGCAGGGCGCTTCCGATCGAATACCCAGCAAGCAGGGCAACTGCAGAGCAATGCAAGGCAGAGGTCGGATCAGAGTTTAACACCGTGAGGTTAGCTGCACAGCTAATTGGAAACGCAAGTACTACCCTAAATACAGGCGAGCCTTTTGCTGGGACTTCACGCAAAGTGGGTCTTGAGCAGTCAAGCTGCAAGTAAAACAAAGTTGGCAAGAAGCTAACAAGCAACCAAGGCGTACATCAATCACAAATGATAAATAAGGCGACGATATGAGAAAATGATAACCACGAGCGACTCAATCGCAGCAACTTTCGCCCAAGAATCGGTTGGCAAGATTTGCTGCTATTGGTTGTTTCCTAACTTCAATAAAACCATGAACAAATCAATCGCAGCAAATTTTGCCCAAGAATCGGTTGGCAACACTTGCTGCTATCGGCTGTTTGCTAACTTGACTCTACGAACAGGTCAATCGCAGCAAGTTTGCCTTCAGGGTCAGACGGCGACGGTCCTATGGGTTCGCACATACAGTACCAGGTCATATAGGTACCCCGACTGGGGGTCTTATGTTGGGGTAAGAGCGTTTGTTTTCTTGCTGTTGCTGCGTTTTTGCTGTTGCTTCGGGGGGGTGTTTTTTTTTTATTTTGCTGCGGGGGTGTGTTTTTTTTTGCTGTTGCTGCCGGGGGGGTGTTTTTTTGCTGTTGCTTCGGGGGGTGTTTTTGCTGTTGCTGCGGGGGGTGTTTTGTTTTT